TTTTTTGAGACTTTGAACACATTTGGAGCATTTTGAAAATCTACAGAACCTTTTCGGAGGGTTCTGTAAACCTCCTTTATTTTTTTCAGAGTAAGCTAAAAAGTTCAAAAGGATGAAACATTAACAGTAACAGATTGAAATAAAAGAAAACATGTAAGCTTGACGGATTTAGTTATTTAAAAGTAAAAGATTCAGCCATATATCGAAATTCAATCTACTACCAAACAAAATTACTTCTATTAGCATCAAATAGCAAACACTACACATTAAATTAAAAATTTTTTTTCTAATTGTGTATTATCTGCTCTAGATTACGGCAGATAAAAATGGCATGATTTTGCATAGAAAATAGTAGCGAACTCTACATCTTCCTCTAAAAATAAACGATAAATCTGAATGAAGCTAGCGTACTCTGTAACTATCTCAGGAAGTTGTCGGATTCTTTATACAGCTAAAAATAATTCAATTTTATCACGACAGTCTACTATTATAGTGCGCACAATAACATTACAAAAGTTTTATTTTATTCAACTTATATTTATATTCAAATCGTTTAACTCATTTCGGCATAACTCCGAAAGGTTTATTTAGATACTTTTAAACAGTTTAAATTTAAAACTATTGTTTAATTTTGCCTAAAGATCAATTTGGCCTGACACACATTTATTCATTTACTCCAAGTAGAGTAAACAGAAAATTTTTCTAAAATTTTTTCATCGTCTTTTTTTCATTTTTTAAATACACTTCCGTTTGGAACATTACAGCAAGATTCTTAGGGAATGTAGCAATTAAGCTTCTTTATCACATGGTGAAAAAATGAGAATTATACATTGTAAACATAACAAGGTAACCGATTTTTAGTAGATCAATGTAAAATAGCTGGACATATGCATTTACTCCTACTAAATCGTATTTTTTTTCTAATTACCCCATATGCGATAATTGCATATAAATTGTAGGTGTTACTATAAAATAATTGATTGAACAATTTCTACTCATTTTCTGTAAATGATTTTTATATGAGACTGTACAGCTCCCCAGGACGATGATCACGGCCACCGTATACGTCGAAATACGTCTCGTATACTGTCGTTTACGATCATAAACGACCCATGTTTCACCCAGGTCATATGCGCCGTATTACGGCCGTATTTTGCCGTATCGTAAATGAGTGTAAACGGTCGGATACTGAATTTTCCAGCCGTGTACCACTGTTTTCAACCGTGTATGACGTGGTGAAATACGACCGTAATACGGCGCATATAAAACGGGCGAAGTACGATGAAGACGGCCGTTTATGATCGTGCATGCCTGACCTGGGTCATATTAAGCTACACAATAAAAAAAAACGAAAACGAAATTCTTGAAATTCGCAGAATTATGATCGCTACAATTAAGAAGTGAAAACTTTCTGTATGGAATTGCCCCACTCTATTCTATCTGAGGGAAGAGCCTTTAGAGTTTTGTACAAATGTGCCGAACTGAAAGAGGCTCAGTAACTTGATTCCTAAAAATTTTTCAGTTCAGCATATTGGTACAGGACTCTGAAGGCTCTTCGTTCGGATAGAGCTTTCCTAATAAACCTGCCTTGTTGAGAGTGAGATCCCTGCTTCTCTCATCAACTTGCAAATTCGAAGATTATTTCGCGCTGTAAATGCTTACCCCCGCTTTGAATTCCTAAAGTAGAATAAAGCCATTGCTAGAGTTATCAACACTGACTGACAAATATGGTACGATATGATGTAAACAATCGACAATCATTACTGATTATTGTAGAAACTTTTGTTCTCTCTAACCTATAAAAAAGCATTTGTGCATTTCTCTATTCGATGTCTTCATAGGTTTGATAGAGCTCGCCGAACCCATTATAAACATCAGTATTTTTAAATATCAACTAGTGAATAAGGAACATTAAAACCAATTTCTAATACATCTAAAAAAACAACTTTTAACATGAAAACACAATTTTATTTGTATTCGTGAAATGTTCACTTACTCGAAAGAGATTGTTCCTCTCTTTAAGGATTTATACGATATGTCTTATACATTTGAAATTTGTATTTATCAATACATTGAATGTGTTGGCTCAATCGAGTCATAATTTTATAATATTCAAAGAAGCCATTAATCACGGTTCAGTAAATCTACATTACCTGAAAAGGATGAGGAGTTTAATATAGAGCATTTTTGTTTCGGAAATTCAATTCATGGGTCAGACCTTAGCAATAATTGAGTTTTCAGAAAATACGGCGCAACTTCGAGCATCTTTCTTCAATTATCTATTGGAAAACATTTTCTCTCAAACTCTGTTTCGGTTGGTTTCCGGCAGATCAAGAGAATTTTGAGAAAAATCGAACTCAGATTCTCGTTTCGTGATCTCAAAATCCTGTTTTAGCTATGCGAAAGACCATGGGAAAACGTTTCACGTCTGAAAAATGAACATTCAGTTTTCGGATACTTAGAGCGCTGCTATAAGACGAACAATTTTGGTTATTTACACTCGTTCTTTTATGACTAAGGAGCACCAAAGCTAAAATCGTGAATAGTTTGACGGTCAGTGAAATATAGTTTTGGTTTTGGATCAAAGCTAAAATTATACCAAGACCAATACCAAAACTAAAGCCACAAAACCAAAAGTCTTGGTTTAGGTTCAGTCTCATAAAGAGCTCTGATTTTAAATGGAAAACCAGTGTTTTGTGTTTTCAGACAACGCTTCAGCTTCTTTTGACTATCTGTAGCACGTTAGTCAGATGCAGTATTTCCGGTCTGTAGAGCAAGCCAATCAATTTATAATTTTCTAATAGAACGACTATGATGTATTTACACCAAGCGGATCTCAGTTACTGAAAAATTTAGTTTTAAAAATTAAGAAGATTATCAGAAACAATTGAGTACTTAGCCATAATCTTATTTTCCTACGTCTATACGCCAAGCTATCGGAAGCTGTCTTTTGTATATCGTATAGTTACATTATATTTTAAATGTATTTCAATAGAAAAGACGTTTCTTAATTCGTAAACTAATAAAAGCGGAACTTAGTGACAAGTAAACGATATTTTGTTTGAATAGCAGATAAAATGCACTGCTACTGCCATTAGAACAAACAGCTGACGTCTGGTTTGAAACTAAAAAGTCAAGAAAAAATCAAAAATTTCTGATTTCAGCCTTTTCCCACTCTCAGATTTGTATGATTGTGTAGCTGCCTCCACTGAAAGGAATGTCTATCATCTGCCCGAAATTGTGGTGCCCAGAATCAATCCCTGAAGATGTGATTCAGGGATCGATTCTGGGCATCACAATTTCGGACAAATGATAACCAACCTCGCATTTCAAGCATAATGCGAAGAAAAATAAGTCAGAAAGGCGGGGTTCCAAACAGAATGCCCGCAATCTAAGAACAGTCTTGATAAGAATAATACAGAGTCCAGTAAAAACTAAAGGTATACATTGACACTGTGTATTATAGAATAACTAAATGCGATGGCCTATATTAAAGGCTCATTCACCTTGACACACGACTCAACCGACAAGGACAACAAATTGATAACTGATTTATCACCACTGGATAGCAATGCTCAACGTTCTGACACTAATGTTGAAGAAGCTCGTACTCCTTATAAAACTAAGAACCGCAAACTTGTTCAGCAGCGAAAACCCAGAGCAGGCTTACAGTCAACATCTGTACATGATTTTTATGATACTGACCTTGAATCAGATGACGATAGACAGAAAACTCCAAACAAAAATTTCAAGGCACGCTACATATCATCTTGCAAGAAATATGATGCTCAACCAGTATCATCCTTTATCGCCGTTATTGAATCACAAAGTCGCTCTGTCAACATTTCTGACGCAGCCTTGAAACCGGTGGATATACAAGTGCTTGCACCTTATCTGGGACTTAACAAGATTATCAAATTAAATTTATCTGGTAATAGATTCGGATGTATTGGTGCTGTTTATCTGTCAGATTTTATCAGAGAAAGTTCATCAATCAATGATTTGGATCTATCCTACAATGATATAGGACTCACAGGTACTGTTTGAATTACTGATATTTTAGAGATTTAATTTACTTAAGCTTTAATAGTAGTGAAGAGCTTTCTTCTAACAGTTTGCTTCATAGTTATTGTTTACCTATATAGGTTGTGAAGCACTATGTAATGCCTTACGATCCTGTAAAACGATTGAAAATTTAATTCTTGATGGCAATAGCTTCGATGATAAATGCAGTTCCGTGTTAGCTGACTTGATATCATCAAATCAAAGTCTAATATATTTATCTCTTTCCAAGAATTTTTTCGAAAGTGTCGCTACGGCAAAATCTTTTTCCTCAGCTCTTGCCATCAACCAAAGTCTCGACAATTTTGATATTTCTTTCAATCATTTCCAATCGAAAGCAACCGCTGCACTGATAGAATTTTTAGCCAAAAATTATAAGCTAACCTCGTTAAATTTATCGCACTCAAGCTTTGGTCTTGAAGCATCGAAAGCATTTTTTTTGGCAATGAAGAACAAACAAACCCAATTAGAAGAACTCGATTTATCATCAAATCTAATCGACGATGAATGTGCAAAATACTTTGCACAAGTTTTATCCATAAATGAGTCTTTGAAGAAGCTTATTCTAATACAAAATCCGTTGAGCGTTCAAGGATGCATCAAGCTTTTGAAACCATTAAAGATGATGCCGACATCCCAATTAGAAATCATTGATATACGAAGTATGTATGTGAAAAATGAAGTCTTTATCGAATTGGCGAATGATCTGGAAAATCGCTTCGAAAAACTGGTTATAAGACGCGGAGAAAAGGTTGAATGAAGTCCGAGAATGTGAGGATGAAAGTTTATTTTTATGAAGACAAAGCTTCAGTTGATACAATTACAAAATATAGGCCGATATTTATAAGACTTTACCACCTAAGCATTATGAAAGGCGCATGTACCAGTGTTACAACCGGATGGGCAAAACAATTTTTGCCAAGCTGCCTCAGTCAGAAGTATTTTTCTTACTTTTTGATATTTTCTGAAAATTTCAGTGCAAAAAAACAAGGAAAAATTGCTCTTCTCATCCAAAGAAAGCTTGATAAAAAATCGTCATAACATATACGAACTAAATTCTAACATTTTACTAGTCTGAATTCAGCTTTGAGTCTATAATACGATAGTTCTAATCAGTAGAGTTTAAAGACAAACTATGAAAAAACGTCGAAAGCTAAACCCTAAAAATGTTTATCAAAATGCAACGTATGAAACAGAGACGTGCACCGCACCCGATTTTGGGGGGACGGAGGGCGGAAAATTAGATGTAAGATTTACAATAGTGGCGGCGGTTAAAACCGCTCCGAAATCTCGTTAAGGGGGACGGTGGCCACTCCGCATCCTCTCAAATTAAGGATGCGGGCAGTCCGCATCGCCACGCGGCCATCCGACGACCGCTCGCAAGATATCTATTGGATGTAAAATAGTTTCTGAAATTAAAAGTTCAGGCGTCAATATTTCCGCAATCTAAAAAGGAACGATCAGCAACACATTCTGAATTTAACGGAAGATCCTCAGATAACGTTTTGCTATCAAGTTTTGCGTATCTTGTAATTTATTATCACAATAATATTTCGTTCAAAATTATTTACATAATTATAAAAAAAACAAAAGAAAATAAATATATATGAGCATCTTTCTGATAACAACAAATCACTTAAAAGTACAAAATAAGAAACACAGAATAATATCTTTTTTCTATGCATACTAGCAAGAATACTATTCTAGATATCAAAACTAAGTCGAACATGAAGAAATCATTCATTATTGTTGCAAGTTTCGATCCGCAGTCTTGCGGGTGTGGGTGTGTGGGTTTATGGGTGTAAGATTACTTTTTCGACACAAGCACACGCGGACACCCACAGCCACATCAATACATTCCCATATAAATTAGAGGTCAAAGAAGCGGACACAGAACAATAGTTAAGAGAAGAGGTGAAAATTAATTCCATAGAATAAGGATAGACTTTACCCAGGAGCGTGAAAATCGAAGTGAATTATGAATGTATATAATTACTGTACTAATGAGATCAGAAAAAAATTATGCGCATAGGTTCCAGCATCTGCTATAAAAGCATTAGAAGTAGAATTTAAAAATAGTATTTTACTTTTTCTATAAGAATGAGGGTTCAATCAATGTTTTTGATCTTTTCTTTTTGGTTAAACAGAAAAAAGACAGTTGTTGGAAAGTGATGTTAAAATTGACATAGTTTTTTATGTTTTGAGCTCAAGAAAAATTTAAACTTTGAGATGATCAAACGGCCGCCACGCGGCCGCATGATCGAGTTGCAAGCTGGACGGAGCGGCCGCTTCCGCTCCGTACCCCTCTTAATAGGTAAACGGAGCAGCCGTCAATAATATGAGTCATACTTGACAGTAAGGGACGGATGGACCGCACGCGCGGAGCGGCCGTCTCCGTCCCGTGCTCCCCTCCCGCGCGTGCGGTGCACGTCTCTGGTATGAAATACCCTTTTTTACCATTTATCAGCATCTAATATAATTTTTCATACACCCTTCACAACACGCAAACAATAGGCTTATCAAGAAACAATAACGTTGATGAAAACGTTAATCAAAGGATACATGCGAACGAAGAATCTAAAAACGGTATTTCATACGTTGCTCTTTCCGAAACCCTCAATAAGGGTACATCAACTTCCAAAAACGACACATTTATGCATGCTTTTTCGTTTATGAACGGATACTTCAAAAGGTTGATAGCTTGTATCAATCATAGATAGGTTGATCACTGGGTACATCAGAAGGTTGATATGTTGTCTCAATCTAACAGAGGTTCATCACAGGGTTATATCAGACAGTTGATATGCTACCTCAACCTGACAGAGGTTCATCCAAGGGTACATCAGAAGATGAAAATACTATCTACACTCCACCTGGGTTTATCACAGGGTAATCAGAAGGTTGATATGTAGACTCAACCACACATCGGTTTATCACGAAATACATCACAGGATTTATATGTCGCCTCAACTTCACATCCATTTATGAAAGTGTACATCAAAAGCTGGATACGCTGCCGACACAACAAACAGGTCTAACAAACCGTACATCGTAACGTCGATATGTTGCCTAAACAGAATATGAACTTCTCAAAAGGTAAATAAGAAAATTGATACGTTGCCATAACTTCACATGGATCTAACAAAGGTGTATCTGAATATCGATATGCCATCTCAAACTCACATTAGGTTTATCCAATGATAAATCAAAAGACTAAGAAACGTACCAAGACCAATACCATCAATAGCAGTATAAACAAAACCAATACCAGCAATACACAAAATCGAAACCAAGACCAAGACCAAGACCAAGACCGAGGCTCTAATACTAATACGAATATTGATACCAATACACAGAAGAATACCACTCATAACAATACCAATACCAACGACACCAATGCCTAAACGAAAGCTAATACAAATATGAATAATGCAAATACCAATACCAATACCTGAAATATTAAGAACAATGCCAAAACGAAAACGAACCCCGATATCAATAATAATACAAATACCTCGAATATTAAGATCAATAGCAATACTTATACCTGCAATGCAATCATCAATATCAAGAACAACATCTATACGAAGATCTAAAGCGATGTCAATACCTACACGAAGACGACGATTGAAGATCAAGACGAACAGCAATATCAGTCAGACGACCAATACTAAAAATAGGAGTAACAACAATATGAAGAACAAGACCAATATCAAAACAAAGACAACAACAAACCGAGACCAACCAACACCAAACTAAAAAAATTCTGTAATGTCGAAGACGCTTAAAAGATTTACTGGATTGTTACAATAAGAAACTATTTTAGGGTTTTTGACACTACCTAAAATAAAAATTCAATACATCCTAAAAAGGCTCGAAAACCTTTTTCGGAAACCTTTAGTGAGTTCCTTGGAATGCTGGAAAATCCATCTAAGTCGCGACCCCGATTCTATGGCAAACCATTCGGAAACCTTTCCAAGTTTCGTAGAATACGAGATTACGCAAATTTACCTCTAGATTTGACCATGAGCGAACCAGTGGACACAATATATTACTAAGGATAAAATAGGACAAAAGTTACCTATGAAATCCATCAAACACACCCATGATCGTTCCGTATTTGCAATCACCACTATCAATCACCGACAGATAAATTAATCATTCATTTATTCCACTTTCTAGATACAAGTAACGCTCGTCGCTTAGACTCGCTTGACCCTCGACTGTATGTTGCGCTCTTCCGGTGCTCAGGTCAAAAAATCTGATGTAAGATCTTGCAATCCGGACGTAAGATCTTACAATCCGAAAAAATTTTTATAAGCATCAGACAAAAGATCGTCGTCTCTGAAATCTTGCATCAGATCATACTATATTTTCTTTAAAGATCACACATGCAATTTATTTTTAATACAAATGTGTCGTGATATTTTAAGGAGATATTAGTTTAAATAAAATATCACAGTGGTATTGCATGGGCAACAGAACCTTTCAAGAATCTTTCAAGAATCTTTTGATACGACTTGGTGTAAGAAATCAGAGACGACGATTTTTCGTCTGATCTGATAAGATCAGATTTTATCAAACGTACGATTCTTGTAAGATCTTGCCGCCTGGTGTGTCACCCTGGATATAACTTAGTGTTTTAAAAGCGTCAAGTACACTAATCTCCAGTATTTGAAAAAGAATGGATATGATTTCAGACCCTGACATAAAAATTGATGCTAGATTACTGCATCTTATACACATTTTCACTCTTCTTTCTGTCCTGAATTCATCTGATAACACTCTGACTTAAAGACCAACAGTTTGCTAAAATTGGTACAATGTATACAATATCATGCTAATACTAATCGTATAGTGCATACAAGCAGGGCTGTCAATTGCATCGACAGAGGAATAGTAATCTTATGCGGCTCAAATCCCCACCTTTCAAGAATGATACCACTGAAGATGTTTTGAGCAGCCTGAAAATTTCAGACATGCGTGGCCGCATTAAGGGGCACCCACAGTACGACTCTCATCGTGATTTATCAAAGTAGACATGATCTACAGCTGATACATAGTTAGATTCTACTATTTCAGAGAATCACTCCAACTTCGTCATCATAGAAGACGTAGATTCCACGACCTCTTAAAAATGGAGTTAGCAATATCGCGTCAAATAGAGTTTTGAACTCCGTCCGCGTTCAATATTTATGGCCATTTTACTGTGCATAACAAGAGAAAGGAAGTATAACTTGGCACTTTACAACGCCACATCCAGCTTTTTTCAACTTAGGAATGAATCATAGAAAATCTGTTTGGTGATTAGTTAGCTCTAATTAAAAACTTTAAAGCAAAGCAAAATAAAATAAGTGGTGTCGAACCTGTGGAGACAGATTTCAATTTTCTTGATCGGAACTCCTATTTGAGCAAGCTGCGAAATAACTAAATGACGAATATAAAAATCAGGCAGTAGTATGAAAACACTCATTCTCAAGACTGCAAAAAACTACATATTCTTGAAAATAGTGATTATTCTGAGTGCTTCGAGGAAGCTAAACCCTCCATTGAGTCGATGAAATTGAAAACAACCAGGATATGATTCCCATTGAATGCAGCACCCCGATCACCGAACCCCGAAAGTAATTTATCCTTGAATTCAGTTTAACACTCGACTTGACGATATTTTGAGCAACTTTGAAACCACTTATATCTAGATAGTCGAGGTATATTTATGCATGTCTACTGCTCCTGGCCGTTCTCTCCATTACTAAAGCACCAGCTAGCCGTTCGTCGGCGCCCCGTAGGGGCGTCACTCACGCCTAGCAGCTGCTACCATGGCTGCCCCCCCCCCTATAACACAACATTCATATTTCACACTTTCCAGCCCACAGTAGTTTTGTTAACCTCAGAGAAACAATCGATTCTTCAAGTACGAACTGTTGACTTGAAACTGGAAACTACTCATTCATTAAATCTATTTATAACAAGGAGTGTTCCGTGACCATTTCTGAGAGCCTGCATTGAAGCGAAAATCGCCACACTCAAGATCAAGTATCATCATACAGAAAACGAACTACATATCAATACTGAGCCCTTTGCAGATTAAATAGATCTGAAATATTTGCATTAGAAACAAGTCAATCATTACCGTATCTTAAAAATATGCTGAGCGTCCGCTTCATCCCTGAAAAAATTCATTTGATTCCTGGATGATTCTTCACAATCTCTAAGACACTGTTATTCCCGGAAAGCAAAGACAAAACTCACACAGCTAAGATCAGGAACCACTTCTGCCACCTCGATTATCTATGGTCAAAACAGGTACAACTTAACTATCTTCTAAAACATACCCGCCCTACAAAATTCGTTTCGAGATTTAAAGATCTAACTTCAGATTCAGATTCCCCGACCCCGATTTACTCTCGTCAACCTTTATAGAATATTAACGCTTTCTTGAAACAACATTTCCTTCGTCCGGAAAACCGAACTCAAAATTTCTGAAATCTGACTTCAGATTCGGATTCCCCGACACCGATAACATTTAGGAATGTTTGATGAAAAGACGGTTTAGCTCAAAACGAAGAAAGTTCGTATGATGTTTTTTTGACCTCCCACAATGTTCTTTTTACCTCCCACAATGTTTTTTTGACCTGCCACAAACAGACAGACAAACGCATTTTTTTTCATATGACCCTCCCTACAGTCGAGGGAATAAAAACGTATTTTCCGGTATTAAGCGAATGAGTTCCTGCTGATAACTGGCGCGCTCTGTGAAGCAATCGTATGATTGGTCATTGAATATAACGAGCAGCGTATAAGTAACAGGGCAGAAGATGCTTTGTGTGAACGATATAAAAGTGAAATGACATGTAGCGGTGGAGTGAGCTGGTATTTGGCCGATTTCAGTTGTTAAAGTTTGTTCACGGTGAAATGTTTAGCGTATTATCATAGATATTCATGATATACTGTGTTTTGTTTTTGCAGGGTGCGTAAAGAAGTAGCTCCTCTGGTATTTGTGTTTTTTGTGGGATGTCGGCGGCTATCGTCGTTCCTACTAGGTGAAGTAGGTGTTAAAATAATCTGGGTGATTACTGTGTGGAGGTACACAATCGCAAGATGCATCTCGAATGTCGTGCAGTTCAATGAGTAGTTTTACTATGACAGAAGTTGAGTCAAAATTTGCTTTCAATTTATGTGTTTTCAAATAAATGCAGTCTGAAATTAGATCCAACTAGATGGTATTCGAATTTCACTCGCACACGAAATGCGGTGCGAAGCACACCAGCCGAATTTTCGAAAGTAGCGAGAATAAGATTTAAAAAATAAATGATTCACTTTAAGATTCATTACAAACGTTTATTTTTCTTTAATTTCCGTATACGAATTTTGAATAAAAATTTCGGATTCACTATTTTTAAATCGACCATTTTAAATTTCATCACTAGGAGATCTTTCTGAAAATGTAACAACCAGTTTTCTAACGATTTTTTTCATTGAACGATTAATTATTTTCATGAATCATTATCTTGAATTTGAATCAGATGTAAAGCAATAGAGTATTGGTTAACAACTATTGATGATGTCATTTTAATTAGCGCGAAAGTCTGAAACGATAAATATCTTTCAAAATCGTCATTTTGGGAGAATATTTCTGAGCAAACAAAATATCGTATTAAAATTTTGAAAACAAATATCACAATTTCAATATTCATATTTTCACCTCTAGTTTGAATAACTTTTCTATAATTTTTGGTTCTCAAGATCATCGGGCAACAAAATGACTATTTTGATGCATTTGCGTCAAGTTAAAAAGAATAATGGTTTTTAGGCGAACAAAAATTAGTATTGAAAATTGGAAAAAAGATGTAACAAGTTCGATCTTTTCACTCTTGTAACGATAAATAAAACTCTGTTGAGTTTATATCGTAATGACAAACTAAATAGAGGTGGACTAGCTTACAGCCACTCACGATAATGATGTTTATTCGCTTCTTCACATATCCAGAGTGTAACAACTTCATACATAACACACGTATATATAGAAGAGAGATAGAAGAGAGACAGGAGAGAGATATATTATAACAGTGGAAAGAGAATAGAAGGAAGAGGAAGGAGAATCATCGAAGCGCGCCACCAATATCGGCACAACTCTCATATCTAGCTCGAATGGATTTTCAAGCATTTACGGTTTTCTAGATCATCGCGCTACTTAATCTGTTTTTTATGCGTACTCAAGTTAGAAAGAAACAAAACTAGATGGTATTCGAGTTTCACTCGTATACAAAATGCGGTGCGAAGCACGAACCGAGTACACGAAAAAATAAAAAAATTAACGGAAAAGGAACAAGCAATCTTAAAATTAATTAGGCATCGTTTTGACCTGATTAGTTGCACATTCGCTTGGAATATACACATTTTTCTGTCTTCAGCAGTTGTAATAAAAATCAAAAAATCATTACATTTCTTTTTAGTTCTCAAATAATCGTAATAGAATTCATTGCTGAGAAAACGTTTTTTTGTGATTATTACCATAATCCTAGAGAATGCTTTTGATTGAACATTAAATTATTTCAATGATTCACTATCTTAGATCAAATGCGAAGAAATAGACTATTGGCTACTATTGCTTGATGACATCTCTTTTTTTATCTTGAAACTTTCTAACGATAAAAACCTTACAAAATCATCATTTTTGAATGATATTTTTTGGCGAACGAAACTTAGTATTGAAAATTTTTAAAAAAATGTAACAAGTTCGATCTTGAAACTTTCATATCTAATTTGAATGGATTTTCTATCATTTACGGTTCTGAGATCATCGCGTCACTTAACGAGAATTTTTTATGCGCACTCAAGTTAGAAAGAAATTATCTATAGATGTTGATATTATAGCGTCTAACTTTTATCGTTTGGATTTTCGTTTTAATTATCTCAAAGATAGATTTGATCAAAATCGTGTTTTTGCAACTATATTTGCGAGCGAACGGTAGCACGTAGAGAATTTTAGGGAAAAAATAGTATATATGTGAAGTTGAGTCTTTT